TTAGAGTTTAGAGTTTAGGGTTTTGTCTTTAGGGCTTCCCAGTGGTCCAAGAGGGTCTACTACAGGATTCTATAGATCTTGTTGGGCTTCTGTGGGGTCTTATAGGCCGTGGGGAAGTGTAGGTCAAGCTGCTGAAACTACATAGCTTATATATCTTATCTTGATATCTCAATATGCTTTTTAGACCTTTATGGTAGCCCTCAGCGGATTCAACAACCTCTCGTGGTGTGAGGGTTCAGGCTTCCCGTTACCGACTGGGACTTGAGTCTTGCTGCATAGAAAATTACTTGCGGCTTTTGGTCATCTGAGCAACCCAACCCTTAGAGCCTGAACCTTAAACCTCCAAGCCCTGAACCTCCAAGCCCTTGAGCCCTAAACCCTGAACCTTAAAGCCCTAGGCCCCTGTACCCCGACACTGAAGCCTAAAGGGCAGCGGTCGAGAACGAGCCGGGCAGACGTCTGCGTCTCCGCGTCGACACACCCGAAGTCGGCGCGGTCGTCAGTGGAGAGGGTTTAGGGTTTAGGGGGTTTGAGTTAGGTTGGGTTTTAGGGTTTAGAGGTTTAGGGTGTAGGGCTTTGGGTTTAGGGTATAGTAGGGCTTAGAATTTAGGGTTGCGGGTTCAGGGTTCACGAAGTTGGAAAAAGATCCATTGAGGAGGATCGATTCGGTGCTTCTAGGCTTGAGGCCTCTATAGCCGAGGACAGAGTTAGCAGGCCCGAGTGGTTGGAGAGTGTTTATCGTTTAGCGCCTAGCAGGATTTCCCACTTCGGGGTGTAGGGTTGGAGGGTCCAAGTGCGATTGGAACGGGACCTGCTCTCCGGGTAAGTACTCGCCAAACCCAGATACCTCAACCCTACACCCCCAGACACTAAACCCTAAACCCTAAACCCTAAACTCCTAGACCCTGAGCCCTAAGCCCTATACTCTACACCCCTAAACCCTAAACCCTAAACCCCTATCGGATGAATCAGATACTTCGACCCCCGAAGTCAGAAGCGCCCACACCCTTGTTCAGGGCTCTTCTGAGATCCCGACCGCGGTGGCCTGCTCGTCTTCCGCCTTGCTTACGCTTGTTTGGGTTTAGGGTTTAGGGTTTAGGGTTTAGGATCTAGGGTTTAGGGTTTAGGGTTTAGTGTTTGGCCGCTGAGATTTTTCAAAGCTTGGATGCTTCGTGAATTGGGCTTTGGGGCTGTGGGTTTGGGTGCCTTTTGGGTGGGTTAGGGTTGATGACGAAGTGGCTGATGCTGTGAAGTTTAGTGCCGTGCGACATTGCACTTCTTAGCTTCAAGGCTTTGGTTTTTTCGGTGGTGGACTTTGTCAGGGTTCACGGAGCTTCAGGCTTCAGGTAGCCGCGTAGCACTTTTGAGGAGCCACGGTTTAGGGTTTAGGGTTTAGGGCCTAGGGCTCGTTTGGGCAAGTCTGTGTCAAGTTTCGGCTTGAGCTTAAAGTCAATCTACCTAAGGGTCTCCTACGGCTTCAGGATGTTGAGGGGAGGGCCAAGACCGTCTGCTGTGATCATACTTTTGCCACCGCCATTTAGGATTGCCAAGCTGGGCCGAAAACCGAAAAGTTAGGTCATGCTTCCTCCCGGAAACCCGCTCTACATGCCCTAAACCCTAAACCCTAAACCCCTAAACCCTAAACCCCAATCTCCTAAACCCTAATCCCCTAAACCCTAAGCCCCTAAACCCTAAGACCCCTAAACCCTAAAGCCTAAACCCGAAGGCCCTCC